TTTCTTCAAATGTATTTAGAATTTATAATTGAATTTAAATTATGGAAACATCTTTATATTTTGTAGATTAATGTCATGTTTTTTATTCATACTCACTTAGTAAATAAGACAATTATTATTTTATAAATTACTTATCTCATTAGTAATTTCTTGTAAATAAGGGTATTTTGTGAAGATTATAATTTAATAATGATGTGCGACTATATTCTTGATGGAATGATTGCATCTTTAAACGTTAAGGCCTATTTTTAAATAAAAACATTTTATTGATAAATAAAGGGTTACAACAGAGATAGACAAATATCTAATAAAATGCAGAAATATAATGAAAGAAGGAAACTGATATTAGATAACTGGTAGTTGGGCTCAGTAGTTGACCGAGACATCCAGTGCCCCACCAACATGCACGGGCCATCCAGTAAGGTGATAAAGGTTCCATCAAAAAGCACCAAAGGTTGCCGCCAGCAAAAGATAGGGCACACGTCCCGGCCACATCATAGCCCCCCAAAAAAATCTGTGAGGCACCGAAATCCAAAATCGGAATACCAAACAAATTAACCAACAAAACAACAAATCATTAACGTCTACGACGACCCCTGCCACGGCCCCTTCCGCGGCCCCTAACACATGAAACCTTCGAACGACCAACATTAGCACGAACCAACGAGAAATCATTCCCTGGGTCAGAAACCCCACAAAAATCCGAAGATATGAAATCAAAATCCGAATGGTCAGAAACAAATTCACCCTCAGAAGAGTCATTTAACCAATTTATTTGGTCCGATCTATCACAACTCAGAGAGTTCACCAAATTTATCGTAGCAGCCGCATGCACCGGAACATTCACGAGCTGATTTGAGCTTTTAGATACTTCAGTTAAATTCTCCACCGGCACAACATTATTAACATCAACAACAGGTAATTCTAAATCAGCAGAACAACCAACAGGCCCAACCGGAAAAAATCGAGGGCTCGAAACATCAACAGCACTCAAATCAGGTAAAGCATCAGCCCCATCCCGATAGAAACATCCAGCAAAACAGGTGAAACCGTGGTAACAGGCAAAGGCAAAACCTCCACCCCAACACCAGATTTCAAACAAATCTGGTCCGTTTCCATAATATCAGGAATGAGATGATTAGAAGGAAGATTCAGGGAAGGAGATAAAATAGGTTCAGGGGGGTTAAGATTTTGCTGTATCCCGGCATCCACCGGAGGAGTAACCGAAATCAAAGGTGTTCTTAAATGAGAAACTTGTTTAGAACATTCCGATTTTTTGTGACCAACAACTTTACACAGCTGACAAAAACTAGGAACATCTTCAAAAATAACCTTTTGAATACCCACACTTCTCTGGCCCTAACCACACCGAATCAGGGTGAGATTTTGAGATATCAATTTCAACCAACAAACGAGCTACCGAGGGACGCGAACCCACCGCCGTCGCATTATCTGTTTGAATCGGCCACCCAAAAATTGATCCCAAACCAAATAAAATCTTGGAAGAAAACAGGTGAGGACGCAAACCAGGGAAAGAAACCCACACCGGGACGATCGGCGACTCCTCCGACAGATCATTTGATGATTTTCATGAAACAACCAACAACAAAATAGGACCGGTGAGCAAAAATTCTACCATAATCTAAATCATTACCAAGTTTAATCAACACATTTGTTTGATCTAACAAGGTTACCGAAAATTCACCGGACAGTTTAAGGTTGGAAAAATTTTTCGAATGAAATCCAACACCGGACGTTTCAATGGAAACTTACCAACTAAAGCATACTCAAAAGGTTTAGCTAGATGGAAAAACTCATCCTCTGAAAACCATAACGCCGGCAAGCCACGAATGGTAGACACACGACATTCTGGGAAAGCAGTCGAAACCGAACCAGAGAGCACATCCTTGAATGATTTAGAGTTCTTACCTTCAATAAAACCAGGATCCAAACGTTTATTAGCCATGGAAACCGCGATCTCACCGGCGCGAGAGAAGACGGCGGCTAGGGTTCACGAAAGGGAAAACCCTAGCAGACATGAGGGGAAAAAATTCGTGTTAAACGTTTAAGGCCTATATTATTTCATAAAAATATTATGGAAATATTTTAATTAAAAGATTTATTGTTTAAATTTAATTATGTGTTACATATTTCAATACTATATATATATATAGGGTTCACGAAAGGGAAAACCCTAGCAGACATGAGGGGAAAAAATTCGTGTTAAACGTTTAAGGCCTATATTATTTCATAAAAATATTATGGAAATATTTTAATTAAAAGATTTATTGTTTAAATTTAATTATGTGTTACATATTGCAATACTTGAGAATATTTATTATAGAAAACGGAAAATAGATTTCCATAACTAGTAGAATGCGTGAAACAGTTACACACATTGTACTGTTCATCAACAAACAATTTCGTCAAAAATTTTGTGTTTTACTATCCCATCGATTGTGCGGATTTCACACTCTCTCAAATGATACATCATCAAAAATTGATTTCATCTCTTAGGAATCTCGAGGTATATTTGAATTAAAAATCTTAAAAAATTAATTTATGATCATCCAAATTCTGAACTCAGCAAATTTAAAGTCAAACTGAACATTTCAACAATACGAACCCGATGACCACAACCTGAATTGGTTCGTTTCAAGGAACTGCAACATAATCGAAAGATTAAAAAAAATAATTTTATAACAAAATGATTGCAAAATATAGCATAGTTATAGTTGAATCGAGCGGCTTGATAAGATGAATTCAAAGAGCCCAAGATCATTCAATTATGGCACCATTAAGGTACTTAAAGACTTAGTGAAAGCTCTATGATCAGAGGAATTAACATGGATCGTTTGATGGAGCACTTCTAATTTACTATGGATTTTCATTATATTTGCGGAGTATGCCGCTTGCAAAAACCTATAATTATGGAAGGAGAAAATTAGGAAAAAAGGAGAGCTCTCGTGCATTTTTCAGCCATCGTCGACGACCACCACCAGATATTGGCACCGGCAACCACCATCGCCACCGATGACAAGCTTTAAAAATCATCACTTTCCCCAAAATGTTAAGAAGATTTCAACATGATGTTTAGTATATTTGCCTGACTGTAGGCGTCAATTTTCTAAATTCCTTCTCGGAAAAAAATTAAGCCTTGTTGTTAGGCATAAATCGTTCATCTGTGGACATTTGATATTTGTTCTCTTTTTCAATAGTGAATAAATGAGGATCTTTGTATCACTTACAACATATTGATTTTGCAACTGGGATAGGCC